ACTGGTTGGGGAAGGGTTTTTGTAGGGATAAGATGTGTTCTTGTTACCATTAACCTCACAACCAGCATTAGTAAGTTTAGATCTACAGCTGGGCGGTGGTGGTGCATGCCTTTAGTCCAAGCACTTGGGAGGCAGAGGCAGGTGGATCTCTGTGAGTTCGAGACCAGCCTGGTCTACAAGAGCTAGTTCCAGGATCTTCTCCAAAGCTATACAGGGAAACCCTGTCTTGAAAAACCAAAAAAAAAAAAAAAAAAAAAAGATTAGATCTGCAAACAAGTATAAAATCTGTTTTCTTTTCTATATCTAATATTGCTTTACGTGGTGTGATATATACTTAAGAACTATTTCTTGGTGCTTCACTGAAAACAAATTGCAAATGAGAGATCTACAGTGGGTAGCATCCCACTGTTGGCAAGATTCAGAAAGCTGCTTAGACCTGGTTTTTCATTTCTGCTATCTATGGGAAGCTGAAGGTGATTCTTTTCCTTAATGTTTTTTTAAAAAATTGTGTAGGTGTGCTTGTGTGTGTGTGTGTGTGTGTGTGTGTGTGTGTGTGTGTGTGTGTGTGTTCGAGTGTCCAGGTGAAAGTGGGTAGAGGTTGGAGGACAGATTTGTGGAGTTAGTTCTCTCCTTCAACCTTTATGTGGGTTCTGGGGATCAAACACAGATCCTGTGAGACATGCAGTCACTTAACCCACTAAACCATGTCTCTGGCCCTACTGATTGTGATTCTTGTAACTTAAGTTATTCAAATGGTCTTCTCTAGAACAGTTCAGATTATACCAAAGAAGGAAACAAATGAGTTTTGCATAGCACCTGGAAGCTTTGGAATGCTGGGAAGAAATACATTCCAAATTAGAACAAAGAACTACATATTCAAATCTAACAATAACAAGGAAACTCAGAGGAAAGATGCTGAATTCAGAAAGCATCTTTTATGAGAATAAACATTGTCTTAGGTAGAGTTTCTGTTGTTGTGAAGTGACATCATGACCATGGCAGCTCTTATAAAGGAAAACATTGAATTGGGGTGGCTTGCTTATATTTTAGAGGTTTAGTCCATTATCATCATGGTGGGGAGCAAGGCAGCATGCAAGTACATATGATGCTGGAGAAGGAGCAGAGACTTCTTACATCTTGACCCAAAGGCAACAGGAAGTAGTCTGTCTCACTGAGAATGACTGGAGCATATATGGCACCTCAAAACCCACTTCTACAGTGACACACTTCCTCCAACAAGACCATATTTACTCCAGTAAGGCCATACCTCCTAAAAATGGCACTCCCTTTGGGGTCATTTTATTTCAAACCACCACAAGCATTATTTTTCAGGCTGAAAATCTGAGAAAGTCACATGCCTTAGAGGAGCACTGTATGTCACTGCATAGATACTCAATAGGTATTTGTTGAGTGAATTCATTAGTTGAATTTTATATCCAGAATTGTGACAGGGTGTTCCAATGTCTACCACATTGAGAGAACATAATAAGAGCTTTCCATCTTTGATGTTTGTATTGGATAATGATAAAGATAACACATCTAACAAAAATGTCTCATGAAATACAAAAATTTCTACCTTCACAATTTAAAATGAGAACATAATTCTTTAAGATGAAATTGGATAGAAATAATACTCAAGTCTAGGATAAAATCTTTTGATTGCAGATTTTCCTGACGAGTCTTCAGCTGCAGGGTCTCTATAAATTTATGTAAATATTCATAAAGAAATTACATTTCCTTCTAAATCCTTACCCAGACACATTATTGTCTAGCATTATGTATCCTACAGCATTTCAGGATAATGTAGATGCTAGGACTGTAAGTGACCTCAGGTGTCCTCCAGGAATTGTTTCTCATGCATGGAGGAGATGAAAGTACAGAATGCAGGAAAGCTGGGAGGCTTACAGAAGACTGAAAAGCTGCTGCTTCTTAAAACAAAGAGGCATTTGGAGAAGAGAAAGTAGCAGGTAAATAAGCAGAGTCTATTCCCTGATGAGGGAAGTGTTCAGATTCAGAGGTCTCTCCCTGTGTGTTGTTGAGTTTGTTTTTATGTTTGCAGGAGAGGATGGCTATATGCATGAATAGACATGAGTTTGTGTGTGCATGTATTTGCATGTGAGAATGTGTAAGTGAGAGTTGTGATAGACAGGCTACAGTGACCTTCTGACACCTTGGCTTTGGGTTGCTAATTTCACTATATCTAATATAAAAAACAGAAAAAAAGAAAGAAAACAACAGAACAAAAAGAAGAGAGAGTGCTTTTGGCTTCCAGCTGTGCACTACTATTCTTCCTCTATACCACTAAAACATTCATTCTCCCAAGCCTCTTCTTAGGGAAATGGATGTGCCAGACTCAGCCTCATCATACAAGTTTAACCAAGTTTATTTTAATTACATCCATAAAATTCAAGTTTTTTTGTTTTTAATTGAAAAAATTTTAATATAGTTTGTTTTGATCACACTTTTCCCCTCTTTCAACTCTGCTTAGGTCCTCTCCATCTCCCTGCTCACTCAACTCTACAACCTTTCTCTCTTTCTTTAAAAAACAAGTAGGCAAACAAAAAACTAGATAACCAACCAACCAAACAAACAAAAAACTCCACTAGAAACAAATCCCACAAACTCAAAATTGGAAACCATAATATACAAGCAAATGACTGATAAGACAAAAAATGCCTAAACAAAGAGATTTGAGACAAAACGTTTACAAAAGTACCATTGGCTTTATTTTGTGTTTGTCATCTACTGATGGGCATGGGTCCTACTCTAAAGTTTGTTTAATATACCCAGTGACAGTCCATTGGAGAAAACACTCTTTGTAAGTCTCAATTGCAGATAGCTTCTGGGTTAGGGTTTGGATCCTATGTTGACTTCCCCCTCTCAGCCTTGTAACCCTGTCTATCTTGAATTTGTGAAGGCCCTGAACATGTTTCCATAGGTTCTTTGAGTTTATATGTATAGCAGTTCTGTTGTGTCTGGAGTATGCTGTTTCCTTGGAGTCATCCTTCCATCTAGCTTTTAGAATCTTTCCACTTTCTCTTCCATATAGTTTCCTGAGCCTTGAGAGGAGGGGTTTGAAGACATACCACTTAGGTCTGAGTATTCTAAAATCTTATTCTCTGCCTGTTGTCTCGTTGTAGGCCTCAGTATTGGTTCCCATCTATTGCAAGTGGTAGCATCTCTGATGATGGATGAGTGAACCACTAAGCAGAATGTCACTGGGAGTCATTTTATTGCTATGTTTCTTTGGCAGAACAGTAGTATTTGTTTTTCCTTTAGGACCACGGCCAACACTAGGCATGGGCTACTTTTCATGGAAATGGCCTTAAATCCAAACAATGATTGGTTACTCCCACAATGTTTTTGCCATTATTGAATCAGTATATCTTGTGGGCAGGTCACCATTGTATTTCATAGGGTTTGTAACTGAGTTGATGGTTACCTTTCTCCCTTGGTAGTGGGCAGAATACTTTCCAGTACCATGAATGGTAGTCAGTAAGAGTGGAGTCACTAGGTAGGCAACAAATCAGATATTTTGTATTCAAGTAGATACGTAAGCAATAGGATGTCATAAACTATAAGTTTGAAGAGAGCAAGCAATAGCTGTGACATTAGCCTGCAATGTTTGGGGCTTCCCATAGGGTCCCTTTGGCCAGTGACTCAACCAGATTTAACTCATTTCTGACACTGGAGGTCTAACTTTGTGATAAAGATGTCTAGTTGGGGCAGTGTCTCTTCATTATTTTCTTACTAGACTTAGATTTCTTTCTCACATAGAGAGGTTTAATATGGCCCTTAGTGCTAACTGCCCCTTCAATATTCCCTCACTTACCATTTCTTCCACCCCCTTTCCATTTAATACCCCACTCTAGTCTTTCACCTCTCTGTAATTATATATTCTATTTCCCCTTAGATTTTATTTTTGACAATCCCAGTTTTCATTGGTTAACATTTTCATTTGCTCTTCAAGGAACTAAGGCAGCTTGGAGTGCTATGCCATTTCCCTCATGGCTGTGAGCCACTGGGGAAGTTGCCTCAGGCAGGGAATTGGTTATATAATAGGACTCTTAAATTTAGCTAATCAACTCAAGAACTAGAATAACACTAAACCAGGGCTTTTAATAATGGATTTGTATCTTATCCCAATTTCTACAGCTTCATTAATCTTCAACTCTCCCAAAAAACTCACACAGCTCTGTTTGACTTTAAACTCAGGATGTTTTTAATTTCCTTTGTTAACGTAGCTGCAATAGAAAGCAGAAATATTCATAGAATGAAAAATGAGATTAGGACCAGGAGATTGGGCTTCATTTCAATTATGGTGTTAACTTTCTGATATTATTTAGTTATTGTCCAAATTGCTGTGTTAAAAACTGCTGTTAGCTAGGTGTAGAGGTCTATCCAACATTTCCACCACTTGGGAGGCAGAAGCAGGAAGATCATGAATTTCAGGCCAGCTTGGGCTACATATGGAGGTCAAGCCTATTTTAGGCTATGTAGAGAGACCTTGCCTAAAAAAGTTCAACCTAAGCCAACCTGAAACTGCTGCTAAATTTTGTGTGGTATAATCTTTGTTTTTATGAATGATGCAAATATGTATCAAGAGCTCAATTAAATTTGTTGACATATTTACCAATGATGGCTATATAGAAAGAAAAATATTTGCCTGATAATCCAACAGAACTCCTAAGTCATTTGTAGAATTGTACTTCTCTGATATAATGCAGTAATTCATATATAAATTTGTAGGAATGGATATTTTAAGTTATAAAACTGAGTAGTATGTTCAGGATCTCTAGGCTAACATGTTATTGTGTGTTTCTTAACAATCTAACAAAATATTAATGTGATGGACTAATTTCTTTTCAAAAACAAGTTGTGGAGAATAACCCCTTTCTTTACCTGATAATGTGTCACTTAACTTGCTAGAACTGCTTACAGTTATGTCATGTTCTTCTCCCTTTTCATCTCCACTCTTGCTTTCTGGTTACCCGTTCTAGCAATACAAGACCAAGTCAAGCTACAAGGCTTTTGCAGCAATCCCTACAAACACATTGCTCTTGGAACAGAAGGTCAGTGTTGGCTTTTAAGCAGAGTGAGTTTTATGTTTTTAGTATTAGTTTTGTATGTGTACAGGATTTCTAATGGAAAAAATGTATGTTTTCCAGTTCTTTTATGAAAAAACCAAAACTGCTCTTTCTTAGGATACTGTGACAAAAGCATCTTATTTAGCATAATAGCAGATATCCTTTTCCTCATTAAGGTTTGAGTATGCTCTCAGAGATGTCTTTCTGCTCTCAAGAAGACTTGGAGGTTTGATTCAGACTTCACTAGATTTCCCCCTTCGTTGGAAAATTAAAATTTGTTATGTTTAAGCATTTCTTCCTCTGTTTGCATAAATCAAAGTCAAGGTGCCATGAGGTTATGTGTACAGCTGTCTACCTTAGTCATTGACTGGTCAAGATTTGTTTAATACCAGCCTCCATTACCATTTATGTGTATACCCAGATATAATACTGAGTGTCTGCTGTAACAATGCAGATTCTCCCACCAGCTAAAACTCTTCATCTATTCCTGCCAACCACTGGCCCTACACCCTACTCCCTTCTGAGTAGTAAGGAGATTGGAGATCACTCCTAATGAATAAAAAGAACAGCTTCCATATGGATCTAGGTACTTTTGCTTTGCTTTTAAGCATCACCAGTTATAAAATGATAGGATTATATATACTTTAATAAGCTAATCACATATTTGCAAGTGAAATCACATGAGGAATCACATCAGAATCAAAATGAAATTATTTACCAATTGTGGGAAATTTTAGATGTCATATATTATTTTATGGTGATTTATTTATTTAGTAGTTTTTGCATTAAGCCTACTTTTTTTTTAAAAAAAACATGGTTAATGATAGTGTTTCAAATACTGTTACTATAATTTGTCAAGCATTAATTGTTTGTCACCCAGGTGGTATTTTGATATACATGCTTATGAATCTTCATTCTTATCTCTTAGCATGATCCAGAAAATGAAGCCTTTGTATGATGTTTAAATAGTAGGAGCACTGTGGGAAATGTTTAGCATTCTAAGGTCAACATCAGCTCATGTCTCTGTTAATGACTCCAAACTATCCACATGTGGTCTAAAGTCCGTGTTCTGTATGTACAAGTGCATTGATCTGGATGGTCATCTGCTGAAGAAACATCGGCGAGTTGGGCTCTAGCTCCCTCCCGATTTTCCACCTTTTATAGCTTTACAAAAGTTAAAATAAAACTAAAGCATTGGAAGTACATTGGACAAACTCTTCCTCATTTGCTCCTTTTCTCATCATCTAGGGCCACCATGGTGAGTCCTGGGGGCAGTGTTTAGGGACATAGAACCTCTGCTAGTTTCAGATGGCCATCTCTGAAGTAGGGTCACAAGCACCTGCCTTCAGAGGTATGGGAGATGTTCTTCCTGGCATTGAGGCAAAGAAGACATGTCATTTGCTCTACCCTCTAACTGAGACATACTCCTGAAGAGATCTCGCAGTCTGTAAGGCTAAGGTTCCTTTATTCAGATAAACACCAGCCAAGTGCAAGCCAAAGCGTGCACAGAGCTCACAAGCTAGCGTGGCCAGAGAGAGAGAGAGAGAGAGAGAGAGAGAGAGAGAGAGAGAGAGAGAGAGAGAGAGAGAGAGAGAGAGGGGAGAGAGAGCATGTCCGCCATCCCTTAAGAATCCTTCTTGCATCACCTTTAGACCTCCCTGACCACGCCCTCACGGGCGTGTCCCGGCACACCTGTCCGGGCTACTAGGAGGTGGGGCTACAGTGTCTCCCTACATACTCCTCTGGGTAGTGAGGGGCTGTATGCTACTATGTTATTTTCTAGGTAGAAAACTGATAGTTAATAATACTTCTTGGAACTCTGTGAGATGTGGCTCCAAGTCATATTTCTTTCAGAACCTCTGACTTTCTAGGTTTCTTTTCTACTAATGAGCTATTTCATAGAGGTTATAATCTGTTGGACATGAAAGATGACAATTCATTAGTTTAACTTCCAGTTTTTATCACAAAACTATTTCACGAAGGTGTGTGGGCATATTGATGCATATTCAGTCTGTGCAGTTCGTATGAGACATACCTTGTGTTTTTATTTTATTTATTTGTAGAAAAGATCTTTTGTTTAGTTTTTTATTTTACATATTCCCCTTCCCCTTCTCCCACACGCCCCCTACCTCCCCTTCATCCCACCCTTTATACACTACTCAGAGGGGGTAAGGCACCCTTGGGGAATCAAAAACTGGCATACTAAGTTGAGACAGGACAAAGCCCCTCCTCCCCACTCTATCAAGGCTGAGCAAGAATAGAGAATAGACAATAAAAAGCCAGTTCATGCACCCAGGATAAGTCCTGGTCCCACTGCCAGGGAACCTCCTCAACAGATCAAGCCATATAACTGTCACCCAAATTCAGATGACTTAGTTTGGTCCTATGCAGTTTCCACAGCTGTCTATCCAAGAGTCCATGAGCTCCACTTGCTCCAGTTACCATCTGTCTCTGCGGATTTCCCAAGCATGATCTTGACCTCCTCTGCTCTTATGACCCCTTCTCCCTCCCTTCAACTGAACTCCAGGGGCTCAGCCCAGTGCTTGGCTGTGGATCAGTGCATCTGCTCCCATCAGTTACTGGATGTAGATTCTCTGTTGACAATTAGGGTAGTCCCCAATCTGATTATAGGGGAAGGCCAGTTCCAGCACCCTGTCCACTATTGCTAGGAGTCTTAGCTGGGGTCATCCTTGTGGATTCCTGGGGATTTCCCTGACACCAGGTTTCTCCCTAACCCTATAATGGCTCCCTCTATCAAGATATCTCTTTTAAATATAAAATTATATAAGAAAATTAGTATTATATTTTTTACAATAGGATGTAATGTTATGATACATGATCTAAAATACTGCTTCTCTAAGGAAGAGTAGATTATTGTATAAACACTAACATACTCATTGAGCCAAGGTAAATTGTCCTAGACCATAGATATTTGTGCTACTCAAATGTCATTAATTAGATGAGAATGGCTTTTCATTTTCAGATCATTTATAATTCTACATTTTAAAAAATATGTCACCAGTGACCTCTAGGGTTTATTCGTACAATATCACCAGCCTATACAGCACTGTCCAGTATTGTAAAAGCTATTCAGCAGGGAGGAAACTTCCTTTTTAGTATCAACTTGATTTATTTATATCCTGTGACCAAAGTGGATAGCACCTTTAGCAATAGAGTCTTCTTTTTCCCCCTGTTTTTTAAAAATTAGGCTCATTTTCTAAATTTTGTATTCCAACCAGTTTTTCTTCCCACTGCTCCTCCTGCCCCCTTTTGCCTTCCCCCTCAGCCCATCCCCGCATCCACTCCTCCTTCCCCCCTGGGAAGGGATGGGGGATGAGCAACCGGGTCTTACCTTAAAGTTCTGGAGGGTGACCAAGAGAAATTGCAGTAGTCTGCATTGTTTTGGTGGTCTCTGGCACTCCTGTGACTAACAACTCAAGGGAAAGTATTCTACACCTGGGACCTTTTTATTTGGCAATCTATAACTTCTGGGATGAACATTAGTCTCTGTACAGGGAGATTTCAATTAAAATATATACATATATGAAGCTTACAGAATGGAATATTTTTAATCAGGGAAGTTTGTCTCATTTTCTTTGTTGTCACATAGAATACAACTGGAAGGCTGATCTGGGAGAGTCATTACAACACTTGTTTGGGAGCTATGCTGTGGGTTGCCTTGACAATAGAGCTCACATATATAACTCAAGTCTTACACGCTTCAGCAGTTAACCCTGCCTCAAGATAAATTATACGCACAGTAGATTTTTATGCCTGGCATACTGTATAATTAGAAAGTAGAATTATTTTTGGAAAATAAACTTATTTTTAAAAACAAGATTTTCAGAAATTAGAACTCAGCCATCTTTTGAAATGAGATGTTAAGCTATCAGTAAATTATGGGATTAGTTTCAGCTCTATTACTTCTGAATGAAACCTATTTTTCTTCATTTTTGAAAGGATGTATTTTTGTTGGCAGGCAACATAAGGTTTCTTAACTTGTCTACATCAAAACTTAAACTTATACCTTATTCTATCTCTAACATTTTTCCTGTAAGCATTTAGAAGGAAATATTTTTAGCTCAATCATTTGCCATGGTTTAATGGGAAGAGATAAACATAAGACATCATATTTTAATGAGATAACCAGCATATTTGGTTTAAGCATCTGTCAATAATCATTTTCTCCCAGACATACGAACATGGGATACCAAGGTATCTGCCACCCTCCATAGATTTGGTTAAAAATGAGGTCCCTAGACAAGTGACTTCATTATAGACATTAACTTTAGTCACAATATGTGCTGTTGTCTATTTCACGAAGTGTTTGAGATATTTCCAAATTTTCTTTATCATTCAAGTCTGACAGCAATAAGGACAACTTTAAAGTAAAATTGTTGCATTATTCCTATTAATAAATCATAACTTTTACTATGAAATTGCTTTAAGGGATTAAGAAAGGCACACATAGATATGTGAAGTAAATTTATAAGTAGTTTATTGTGCTATAAAAGAATGATATTTTTCTACAGAAAGATACTTTTTGTCCCTTGAAGATAGCTCATATTGTCTATCCCTGACCTTCTAAGCATCTATAAGGATAACATCTTTATCTAGTGTTAGATACCGTTTTCCCAATAAATGTTATTACTACCTTCCATTTTAAAGATACATTTAATTTATAAAAGTTTGTGTCTTTGCTAGGTTCCAGAGCAGTTCAATTTTATATAAATGAAGTAAACGTATAGAAATAGTTGCTCAAATATAAAACTAAAAGATTTTTTTTAAACCATAGCAGAAGGGTACAAGATAGCTCTTCTGAAGATCACAATGAAAACATGGTATGACAATACAAAGGCAGAAATTTGGTTTATCCCATTGCCAAACCAATTTACCTTACCTTGTATGTTTACATTTTAATGTATGGAATACTAACTGCAACCTGATCAAATTTAATTCTTTAGCGAATGTTTTTAAGAGTTCTG